GGTATAAAAAATTACGAATTCATGAAAATTTTTGCGGGACGGTGGAAAGATTCTTGAAAACGCCAATTGGGAACAATGTAAAAAAAATATGTATTGCGTATAAAAGAGAAGAGGTTTTTTTTTTTTTTTTTTTTTTGTGGATATATTGAAAAAAATCGAAAGTTTTGATGCAAAACGTTGTTATATGTTAATTTTTAGGACATAAAATAAATACAAAAAAATTGTAATAAAAAATTCTTAAAGCGCTATTATATATCGTCATGAAAAATGATTTAGTAATTATAAATATATATAAAATTATTTAACGACTTTATTTTTTTTAAAAAATCCTTTCCTAAACTGAATGAGAAAAATATTAAAAGATTTTCGTTCGTAAATGATATTATCAAAAAAGGAAAAAAAAAAAAAAAAACAAAATTAAGGCAATAATTCAGTTGTATAATTAAATATAATTTAATAATTAAATTCGGATTTACAAAATCAATTCATTTTAATAATACAAAAATAAAAAGGATGAATTTTGGTACCTAAATGATGATGTAAATTGTAATCATTATTTATTTTTCTATTAAATTTTTTTATCCTTATTTTCATCACAATCACTTTTATGGTTAATATGAACATTATCACAAGCATCATCATCATCATCATCTTCCTCTTCATCATCATCATCATCATCTTCATCTTCTTCGTCGTCGTCGTCGTCGTCATCTTCATCACCGCTGTTATCATTGTCAGAATCTGTTACATCATTATCATTTACTCCATAATTCAAATAGTAGTTAGACGAATTGTTAAAGTCATAATCAGGATCATCACCATCATCATCATCGGAATAAGCTTGTTTCTGTCTTCCAAATTTATGAGTTCTTGCTGTAATGATAAGAATTTTAAATTAAATATTTTTTTATGATATCAATTTATTAAAATTCACATAATAGTTTTATATTAAACTTACTAGAAACACTAAGATCTTTAGTTTGAGCAGTTTCAAATCCACATTTTGGACAAGGAAGAGGTTTATTTTTTTCATATTTAAAACCTTTTCGTCTAATATGATCTTCACAAAAGCAAATTTTACATTTTAGACAGGAATATTGACCAAGTTTATTACATGATTGGCACTTATAATTTTCCGATTCTAAAACTTGACAAGATGCTTGATGTTCAAACTGATCATCTTCGCAAAGAAAAGATGCACAAAATGAACACTTAAAAATTCTACCACCATGATCCCATACACCTCTCTCACATTCAACACAAATTGCATCTTGTAAAGGACAACTACAGGCGTGAACTGTTAGACAACGTCTTCCATGACAAACCCAACTTTCACAAAAATCACAAATCGCACCCTAAAATTCACAATCGCAAAAACATTTTTTTTAAAAACAGCACAAATAAAAATTGTTTAAATATCACCTCTTTACTTACCACCATTCCTAAACCCGTAGTAAACACGCCAGCATGGCGTACAACACAATCCCCTGTTTTTAGCATGCATTTGACTTTCCCACATTGAGCACAGGTAGGAAGTCTTTGAAGACTTTGACAAAAATAACAAAATGCTCGATTTTTTTGCTTTCTTTCACATTTATCACATTCCTGTTGAGAAATTATATGAAATTAGAATACTAAAAATGATTGAACATAAAAGTTTAAATTGGTTTTAATAAATTACATAAAAAATAAGTTACTGCTTCATAATGATAATGTAACATAATAATAATACTAATGGTTTTTATGTTTATTACAAAAAAACTTACCATTACAGAATTACATGGAAATTTTACCAAATCTAAATTTTCCTTTTTAGATCTAATTTCTTTTTGACGTATTTTTTGCTTTTCCGCTTTTTTACGCTGCCCTGTTTTTTTCTTCGGCATTTTAATATTTGATTTAATTCTTACCTGTACTTTAAAATGTTTTTTTAAGTCTAACTTTTAATAATAAAATAATTATTCTAATGACACGATCAACGTGCTTAACACGAATGTTAAATTAACGCAACAATTTTAATAAGAATTTTTTTTTCTACAATTTTTGAAATGGGTAACAGTCGAAGATGGGAAGATTTGGAAATTCCTCTCAGTCAGTCCGTGAGAAAAACAATTAATTCTTTAGGTTTTGATTTTATGACTCCCGTTCAGGTATAGTAAAAATAAATTTTTAAATTTTAACCTATACGTGTAAAAAAGTTACAAATTAAGTACATACGTTATAAGTTTATACATTAATAATTTAAAATGTTATTCTTATGTAGGCTGCAACCATTCCTCTTTTACAAAATCACAAAGACGTTGCAGTGGAAGCTGTCACAGGTAGTGGTAAAACATTAGCTTTTTTAATACCAGCAATAGAAATATTAATATCAAGACCTGAAAGGTGGAAAATAAATGAAGTTGGAGCTGTCATTATTTCTCCTACAAGAGAATTAGCCATACAAATATTTGATGTCCTTCAAAAATTTTTAGAGCATTGTCAGTTAAAAGGTTTACTTTTAGTTGGTGGTGACACAGTTGAAAATGATGTTAAAAATTACAAGGAAAAGGGTGGTAATATAATTGTTGCTACTCCTGGTAGATTTGAAGATTTGCTTGTTAGACAAAATTGTAATTTGTTGGGTGGTGTCAAATCTCTTGTAAGTGCTTATTAGTGCTTGTATTAGTATTATTTGTTGTAATTATTACTCGATGCAATTTAAGTTAAAATTTGTTTTAGGAAATTTTAATTTTGGATGAGGCTGACAGATTGCTTGATTTAGGTTTTGAAAAAACCTTAAATAATATCCTACTCTTGTTGCCAAAACAAAGAAGAACTGGTTTATTTTCAGCGACTCAAACTAAAGAAGTTGAAAAATTGGCAAGGGCAGGTTTAAGAAATCCAGTAGTTGTATGTGTTAAAGAAAAAGTAAATACACAAATATCAACTCCAGTTTCTCTGTCTAATTATTATTTAGTTTCTGAAGGAAATACAAAATTAGGGACATTAATCGGTTTTATTAATAACCAAGGAAAAGACAAAAAATATTTTTTTTTTTTTTCAACTTGTGCTTGTGTTGAGTGGTTCTATATTGTTCTTAAGGAAGTGTTTCAAGATGTAAATATATCATCATTACATGGGAAAATGGGTAAAAAGAGATTAAAAGTTTTGGACAAATTTAGAAGCCTGGAGTCTGGTTTACTTTTGTGCACCGATGTAATGGCCAGAGGAATTGATATTCCGGAAGTCGATTGGGTTATTCAATTTGATCCTCCGACAAAACCAGCCTCATTTGTGCACAGAGTAGGGAGGACTGCAAGAAATGGATTAACAGGTTCTTCATTGTTGATGCTTTTACCTTCAGAAGATTTATATATTGATTTTATAGAAAAAAATCAGAATGTTAAATTATTTAAAAAAATTGTCGATTGGAACATTCCTGACGTTCTTAAAATAATGAGAAACCTTCAATTGAAAGATAGGAATAATTTTGATAAGGCAAACAGAGCATTTGTTTCTTTTATACAGTCTTATGCCAAACATGAATGCTCATTAATATTTAGAATAAAAGATTTAGAATTTGGAAAATTAGCTACAGGATTCGGTTTGTTAAAAATGCCCAAAATGCCTGAAGTGAAAAATGTCGAAATAGAAAATTTTTCACCCATGGATATAGACTTCAATAGCATAACTTACGACAATAAAGTGAAAGAGGTAGAAAGGCAAAAAAATTTACAAATTTATTTAGAAACAAATATTTGGCCGAGTAAAAAGGGTAAAAAACGTCACGGTAACACGATTCCTTGGGAACAAAGCAAAAAGAAAAAACTTGATAAAAAATTAAAAAAAGACTATTTAAAAAAGAAAGCAGAAGAAAATGGTAAGAAGAAAAAAAAGAAATTGAAAATTGACGAAGAAGAAATGGCGTCACTTGCAAAAGATTTGGCACTGATAAAAAAAATGAAAAAGAAAAAAATATCAAATGATGTTTTTGAAAAAGAATTTTGTAACGATTTCAATTGAGATTTATCAATAATAATAATAATAATAATATTACAAAAAAAGTGAGTAAAAAAAAAAAAAAGAAAAAATTGTGTAAAATAATAAATATTTTATAAAATTATTACCGATTAAAAATTTTGTTTTTTTTGTTGTTGTCCAAAACCGTTAACCGTTCGTGAATGTGAATCGTGAATGTGAATTTTTAACGGTCGAATGTGAAAATTTAAACTTTATCAAAAACTTTAATTTTTTTTTTTAATTCTTAAATTCTTTAATTTAAATTTAAAATCGATTTTAAGATTTTAACAACATTAAAAATGTCGGTAATTTAGAGAGAAAAAAAAAATTTTTATAAAAAATCACAATATTTTATTTATTTAATTTTTTTTTTTTTTTTTTTTTCTTCTTCGTCTTCTTTAAAAAAAAAAAAAAAAAAAAAAAATTTTATTCGAACTAAAAAATTATTCGTGCTCTTATATATTTAGATTTACATGTTAAATTAATGTTTTTATCAAATATGAGTATAATCGTACAAGATGCGAATTTATCAATTTGCCTTTGGATTTTAGTATCAATTGCCATTGTTATTGCTTTATTATTATTATCAGTGGTAAGGTTTTTATAATTAATAAAATGATAATGATAATTAGTTAAAAAAAAAAAAAAAAATTTATCAATTTTTTCAATTTAAATTGTTTCAGTTTGATGGGAAAAGAGAAGAACTTCGGGAAACCGTAAGTTAATATTTTTAATATAAATATATTTATCAAATCGATCATAATAATTAATAAATTAATAAATAAAAAAAAACATTTTAAACGAGTTGTGATAGATAATTTGAACGCCATTTTTTTTTTTTTCGACAGATAATTTTTCCCGAAGGAAGTATAACGGCTGCCGTTGTGGATGCATTTATAGCGCCAGAGGTTGATTTATAAATTATTTTGAAGAATATATTTGTTTTAAAAAAATTTTATTATTTTAATTATGACTTCACCGTTAGGAAAAATTGAAAAAATTAGAGGGAAAAATAAATTCGAAATATGCCAAATTTGAAATAACGCAAGAGAAATTAGAAGAAACTAAAAGATCCATATCGGAATTGGAAATAACGAGCGAAGAAGTACAATCGAAATATCAAGAATTATTGAAACAATTAAAAATGGAATTGGCTAAAACGGAAAAAGAATGTCAAAATATACACAATCAAATAGAAAAAATCACGTCGAAAAGGGATAAATTAAAACAAGAATTGAACGAGGTTTGTTCGAATGAGAGTCCATTTTTGTATAAATATAAATAATATATCATTTGATTGTATGTAACCGTTTATTTTTTATGTTGATGATATGATATTTAAATAATCCTTATTAGATTTACAGAATCAATTCGAAAACAATAATTTATGAAAATATGTTTGGTACACTAACAAGAACTAGTAAACATAATGATTTTATAAATTCAGACGAAATTGAAATCCCAAGAAAATCATTTATGAATTCAAATAATGAAAAATTTAAATTTTCATTTGAAAGTAAATATAATTAAAATTTTTATTTTTTTTTTCAGTTAAGTTTTATTATTGTTGTTGTTATAAAGTGTATTTAATTGTTTGTTTGTTAAATTTTATTTGATTTTTAGGTTCCAAACAAAGATTTTAATAAGAAAGGAAGTCTATCTTTTGAAAATATTGAAAAAGATCAAATCAAATTTTTTTTTTTTTTGTAACATAAACAATTAATAAATAAAAAATTGAAAATTTGTAAATGATTTTACATATAAATATATATTAAATACAAAAGAAAGTAATATTTATAACATTTTTTTTTTTTTTTTTTTTTTTTCATGAGTTTATATGTGATCAATGTTAAATTTGTTTGAGTAAAAAAAAAAAAAAAGATTATAGTTAAAGTTCGGTGTGTTTTTTACCAGGATATTTTTTTAAAACGGCATAATAAAGATTAGAAAAAGCATAAATGCTAACACAAATAATTAAAATAAGAACAACAACAAAAACAAAACTTAAAAAACTTCCATCGATAATTGATTCTTTACATGTACCGCTCCTTCGTTTGGTTCTTTCTTTTTTTTCTTCAAATTCGTTACATTCAATTATTTTTTTCATAGCTTCTAATTTTATTCTTAATTCTTCAACTGATTCTGATAAACTAGGATTCTCTGAATGAAAAAAAATAAAATATAAAAATAAAAATTAACTTTTTGTTACTTTTTCTTATGAAAAATTTTTTTTAAAAAAAAATCCAAACTTAAAACTACCCATTCGTTCTGCCATTTTAAATGAAGTTATTGTTAATAATAAATATAAATAATACAAAAATATTTATCGACTTTAAAAATTATGAAAAAAAAAAAAAAAAAAAAGTCCAAGATTAAATTCCTTAAGGAATCTGCGGATCCTTTAGATCAAATATCGAACGGTTTTTATCAACCGCCTTCTTTTAATATAAAATCACGGGGTTTTAAAATGTTTCGATTAAAGTGGCAGAAGACATAAAATGTCGCATTAATGATGTGTGGCAAAGTAGAAATATAAATTTATTATCTGATAATAATTTTTAATTGCCTGGAAATTAAAAAATAAACTCACAAAATGGTTTTAGCGGATCTTGGACGGAAAATTACGTCTGCCTTGCATTCGCTTAGCAAGGCAACGGTTATAAATGAAGATGCAAGTAGATTCATATGTTTGTTTTAACTAATTGACTTGCACCTTTTTATCAAAATAACCTTTCATTAATTATAAAAATTTTTATTTTCTCATAATTATTTGTACCTTTATTAAAAATTAATACTTGTTGTTTCATGTTTTAATTTTTTTTTTTTTTTTTAGGTTTTGAATTCTATGTTAAAAGATATCTGCACAGCCTTATTGGAAGCAGATGTAAATATTCGCTTAGTAAAAAAACTTAGAGAAAATGTTAGAGCTGTAATTGATTTTGATGAAATGGCAGGAGGTTTAAACAAAAGAAGAATGATTCAAAGTGCTGTATTTAAAGAATTAGTTAAGCTTGTCGATCCTGGTGTTAAATCTCATCAGCCAGTAAAAGGAAAACCGAATATAATTATGTTTGTCGGTCTTCAAGGTTCAGGAAAAACAACTACTTGCACAAAACTAGCATATCATTATTTAAAAAAAAATTGGAAAGCTTGTTTAGTTTGTGCTGACACATTTCGAGCTGGTGCTTATGATCAGTTAAAACAAAATGCCACAAAAGCTAGAATACCTTTTTATGGTAGTTACACTGAAGTTGATCCTGTCGTTATCGCACAGGATGGCGTAGAAATGTTTAAAAAAGAAGGATTTGAAATTATTATAGTAGATACCAGTGGTAGGCACAAGCAAGAAGAATCATTATTTGAAGAAATGTTGCAAGTGTCTAATGCAATTGTTAGTAAAGTTTAATTATATACATATATGTCTAAGCCAAAAGTTTATGTATTATATATTTCCATGAATGTGCATACAATTTTTTTTTTTTTTTTTCACAGAAACCAGACAATATTATCTTCGTTATGGATGCTACAATTGGTCAAGCTTGTGAATCTCAAGCTAGGGCATTTAAAGAAAAAGTAAATGTAGGGTCTGTCATTATAACTAAATTGGATGGACATGCAAAGGGTGGTGGTGCTCTTAGTGCTGTAGCTGCAACAAATAGTCCAATTATTTTTATTGGTACTGGAGAACACATAGATGATTTTGAATCATTTAAAACGAAACCTTTTATTAGTAAACTCTTGGGAATGGGTGACATAGAAGGACTTATCGATAAAGTTAACGAACTCAAGTTAGATGACAATGAAGAATTAATAGAAAAAATTAAACATGGGCAATTCACATTACGAGATATGTATGAGCAATTTCAAAATATTATGAAAATGGGTCCATTTTCCCAAATAATGGTAAAGTTTTGATTGGTTTTTTTCATTGTTTTTATTTTCATTGAAATTAATAATTAATTAAAATTGATAAATTTTCAATTTATCAGGGTATGATTCCTGGATTTAGTCAGGATTTTTTATCAAAAGGAAGCGAACAGGAATCAATGGCTAGATTGAAACGAGTTATGACAATTATGGACAGTATGAACGATGGAGGTAAAATTATATAATATTTAAAAACATTTTGGTATACTTATTAACTTATGTAAATATTTTTATATATAAATATTTTCAGAATTAGATAACAGAGATGGTGCCAAATTATTTACGAAACAAAGTAGTCGAATCGTACGAGTGGCTCAAGGTGCGGGAGTAACAGAAAAAGAAGTCAAAGATTTGATATCTCAGTATACAAAATTTGCTGCGGTAGTTAAAAAAATGGGTGGAATCAAAGGATTATTTAAAGGTGGCGACATGGCTAAAAACGTTAATCAAGCTCAGATGACAAAATTAAATCAACAAATGGCAAGAATGATGGATCCGAGAGTTTTACAACAAATGGGTGGAATGAATGGATTACAATCGATGATGAGACAGTTACAACAAGGTGCCGCCGGAGGATTAAGCAATTTAATGGGGGGTTTCGGAGGAAAAGCTTAATTCACTATATATATAATATGACTACAAAGGAAATTAACATGAAATTTTTTTTTTATTGTATCGGGGAGGGGGGTGGGGAGGAAAGGGTAAAAAATTTATTATTTACTTATATAAGAACTAAATTGTTGATAATAATAATAATAAAGTGCATTCCCAAATCGACGTAAAAGAAAACAAAAAAAAAACAAAACTTATTATCATCAAATATACCCCCCCATATATATATATGTATTTGTACAGAAAATATTGATTTTGATAATTTGAAGAATAAAAAGTATTTTTTAAAGGTAATTGTTTTCATTTAGAAAATGTCCACCATAATCCTAATTTAATTATTAAACCGTAAGAACCTTTTAAAAAATTTTTTTGCATTATGGAAATGCTACAAAAATTTGTTACAAAATCAACATTTCGTAATAGAATACAATTACAAAGATAATAATAATAATAAAACAAAAAAAATAAAATAAATTAAGAATTAATTATTTTTATTCAAATGCAAAGTACAAAAAAAAAAAAAAAGAAAATTTCTTTTGTTAAATTTTTCAATATTAATCGTATGAGATTAAAAAAAAAAAAAAATTATTATTATTATCATTACAATGAAGGCACCGGTAAAAAAAAAAAAAAAAAAAACAAACCAGCGCAATCGACAACAAAATATTAATACAATCATTTATTATTATTATTATTAATTTAAAAAAAAACTTAATTCAAGCTTCTTTATCGATTATTAATTTAACGCATTAATTGATTAGAAAAATAATAATAATAATGATAATAATAAAAACAAAATCGGTGCGTTATAATTTCTTCTCGCTTACATTTTTGTTTTATTTAAAAAAAAAAAAAAGCATTCAAATTATTTTTTTTTAAGTTAATATTTATGTAAAACAAAACAAAAATAATATTTTACACCGATAAAATTTAATAAATTATTATTAATAATAATAAAAAAAAAATTATATAATAACATTTTAATAACGATTTTTTTTTTTTTTTTTTGGATTGAATTCGGCCATTTTGTCTCTCTTAAATATCAAATAAAATAATTATTTAATATATATTTTTTTTTTTTATTAATTAGGCAATACTCATTTTCCTTTCTTAATTAACATAATAATAATAATAAGCAAATTTAATAATAATAATAATAATAATAATATAAAATTGGCACACATTTATTTTTAAATGATATCCTGAACCTTAAAAATTAATTTATTAAACCTAATAATAATAATGGAGTTGCCATTTTTTTTTTTTTT